GAGGTGCCTCTTGTCTCTTTGGTTGCTGAGATCGCTGAGCGGTGTTGCTGCTCTCGCTGCCTCCTCCCCCCTCTTTCCTTCACTCTCTCCCCTCACACCAGCCTCCTGTGCCTTTAAAAAGACAAGCAGCTTTTCTTTTTTTTTTTCATCTGCTACTGCAACTATGGGGGAGCCAAACAATACCAGTTTCTCCCCCCAAATCCAGTCTGATTAAGAGACGCTTTCCCCTTCACTCTGTTCGTCCCTCACTCCCGCATTACCAGCACCTTGCAAATTTGGCTCTCTCCTGCCAGGGTCCCTCTGACTCGTGCAATGAGCTGCATAGTGAAAATGTCATTTTTGTGCCTCCTTTTCACACAATGGAAGCTTCCAGCACTCGGCTTAGCCAACCAGAGTGATGCACGGGGTAAACAATAGACTCTGAGAAACTATGCGTGAGTGTGAATGTGTGTTATTCAACTTCAGCTCCATTATAGTCTTCCCTTGAAGACAGTCGAACAGTGCCTCTATGAAAAAAAACACAAATTATAAAAACAAAGAAATTTTTTTTAATGCATTTCTGTGTGACATACAAAGAATGTTCATTGCCCTGGAAATAAGAGTAGAAACAATATATTTCCTACTGACTGTCAATGAGCAATAGGAAAGAGAGGCACTGGAAATACGAGAAGAATAAATCCATTGTAGACTCATGGGAAAGTGAGGAATTGAGGACTCACTACAATAACATGAGCCCGAGGGACTGGTAGTCACAGTGAGTTGCTGTATTGAGGTATCAGGTATCTTATCTTTGCCTGGGAGGACAAAAAAAACACAATGAAATGGGGAATCTCCAATTCCGCCCCCAAAACCTAACACAGCGTTTGAAAGGGGGAAGTGTTTGCATGTAAACATGGGAGTCCATTAACCCTGATTTTCACAAAGAATATCGATGTGATCTGAGACTCTGATGGGCATGACAATCGATATTCCACGACCCGAGGGGACAAGCAAACTCAAAACCCACAACTCACAACACAGACCCCTTCTAAAAAATATTGATCGCCCAGTGTTCCCCCAAGATTGGATGCTTTGGAAGGGGGGCAACATGAAAGTGGGTGGAGACTGGGTGTGCTGGGTGGGAGCATGTATAGACAAGTCTCCCCATCTGGCATTATGTGGAACCTTCACTAGGTCTTTTATTGCACTTAGAATAATATGTGATGTTTCATCTGAAGAGTGGAGAGGCTTTACACAAAGACAGAAGCATGGTGAACATGGTCGACACACAAGGTAAAACCAAAAAAAGAGGAGAGAGCCTAGCACATCTGGAAAATGGAAACTAATCTCTGTGCAGAGAAATTAAGTAAAAAAACAAAAGAAGATGTTATTTCTATTCTTTTTCTACTCCTTTTGAGACTTCAGCACATACAAGTTCTAGATGATTCCATATACAGGCTGTAGTATCTAGGGCAGTGCTGTTTGTGGAGTACATGTTCCTGTCATATTGAATGTCTGACATAAACATCCACCTTTTGTCGCAGCTTTAAGGGCCTGGCCTTAAACTTGAGCTTCGACTGCACGCTGAAAAAAATGAAGAAATGAAAAATTCAGCAGACTCAGGCACTGGAAGATATAGCTCTGGCAGATTTATCTGAAAAATTCATAACGCCACTCAAGAAGAATCAGGTCATCACAATCCATATATACAATATACATATGTATATATAGCCCTGTTGAAGTCCTTTCAAAATGAACTTTAGGTGTATTAAAAATCCACAACATACAGCTTTGTCTGCATTAAATATGATTAGAAGAATGCAGGACATGTTGGAAAATAATCATTTAAAGCATAACTAGAATTTTATGATGTAGAAAGCTTCATTATGAAAGGAACTTCAGTGTAGCGGGTCCACATTGAGAGCAAGTAAAGTCTCAAAGTTAAAAAACAAACAAAACCAATTATATATCGAATAATGTGGCACCAAAAAAAAAACTTCATAAGAGACCACAAAAATTCGGCAAATTATAGACACCCCTCAGCAGTGAGCTGTAGAACGATCCATGGCTCTGTCAGCAGTAGGGGGCTTTTTGCTTCCATGGGTCACTGGGTCACTGCAAATCAAAGCTGTACTGAGAGTTCGCCTCCTGATTGGAGTGTTCACCTCCGGGTCACAACGCTCCCATCCACTGTGCACGAGGGGTCACCGACAAATATGTTACCAGTGACAAAGCTGTGGCAATAATCGAAAATGGGACACTAACTCCGCATTTGTTCATGTTTGTAGTGTAACTCCTAAGTACAGGGAGACTGGAATAGCTATGCTTTCGTTCCATTAAATCAAGAAGTTCTAGGATACATCTTACAGGAATCTTGACTTTAGATGACGACAGATGCTCCTCTGATCCTCCTGCCTTAGAGCTGCTGACTGAGCAGAGTAGTCTCAAGCTTTAATTCTTATATGCCAAGAAAAACCTGCATTCCTCCCATTAATCACTTGTGGGACTGACTCCTCGAGTTGGCACTTACAGTACACTCCTCCACCACACCTTGAGATTCAGTGGGATTTCTTTTTGTTTAAGTAAAAGACGAGAGCAGGAGAGTAAGTGGAGCACCTCAAAATGAAAAAGAAGCTGTTAAATTGGAGCTGAGATAGCCATCAGTCTAGTATCCTGATTACAGTCATGTGGTCACGTAAAATAGCGGCGAGAACACATTTGCCACAAACACATTTCAAAGAAGAGCGTGAGTTGTTTAAATCCTATAATCTTGCTTTGTCCATATTCTGAAATGCATGAATTGCCAATTAATGTAACAGCATGGGAGGAGCTTTTGTTTTGAGGGCTTTTGCCAGAATCCCGTCAGCTGTCAGGAACTTACTTCACACAAAAAAGCATGTCTCTAAGATGTGTGGGAGTCTTTAACGGATTAATTATTCAGAATATTTATTTTGGCTCAGTTGCATTCATCTCAATGTGATATAATTATTACTCTTGAAAATCAATGAGTCATTTATGAAAAAGGGACAAAATATAAGTTTGTTTTTGTTTTTTGACGTATTGGCATTTTCATTACCTCATAGCTATAAAGGTCAATTTTCAATTAAAAATAGTTTTAATACTGCCCAGTGTATAAGTCAAATTAATGTCTAGGAGCAGAGAGGGTGTGGCACATGCACTCTAATACTATAGTAATCTGTGTTTAAGAGGTGTTTTTGCAGTGCACATAACTCAAAACGCAATCTACAGATTAAATTTATATATACAGCCGCACTGGCACTGTTGCTGTGCGTGCAGATAAATGAGAAACTCGAGCATCCAATCAGAATATTCAGTCAATGTTGCCGCACTGGTGCTCCACTCCTCTCCAGTTCTATCTAACAGGCCTCTCAGATATAAATAATGTAGCATCAATATGCTCGCCTTGCATTCTCAAAATCAACTCTTAGTGAGGGGTATGCTCACAAAGCTGAACAGTCACACAGTTTACATCTGCCACAACCAAATGTGCAGAAAACAGGTTTGGTCATTTGCTCTAATTGAGCATATGTGCATAATCTGGCACAGGAGAGCTGAGGTGTATTCATGTGTGCTCCAGGTTAATGCAGCATCCAGACGGCAGAGTGCAGACACAGTCTGGCAACACAACATGAAGACTGGACTCTGCAAACCCTCTGCTGGTGGTAAATGACACTGCAACAGGGAAAGTGGCTGAGTCATTCCTTCTAATATAATAAAGTCTATGATACAGTTGCAAAGGCCAAAAGCGGCTGCGGGGGGAATGTTTAAATGAATAAACTATACTTGAAACAATAAAATAGTAATCACAGTGTCAAGTAATTCAGTGAGAAAAATAATGTTTCTTAAGTTGAAACAGCCAGTTAAAGGTCAAGATATGTGCTATACCACATTAAAGGACTACTTGGTTAGACTGCACTGCAATAGTAAAAACTGCAGAATGTTTGAGCATCAATAGGTACATTTTGTCTTGGTGTTTCTGCTATTTTCACCATTAACAAGCCACAATTATACAGTATGCATTTGGCTTTCCATGACCACTAAGTTCACATTTTGCAAATCTTATTTTCTTTGAGTCCATGTGGTGGACATGCATAGCAATGGTATACTGTAATTTTGTCAGTGGTGTAATGAGACTGGGTGTTCACATAGCTGTGGTTCTTTATATAGAAAATGTCAACAATGCTGTGTATCATTTATCTATATATGGCCAGCACTGTCAGGAAATATATGTCACAATTTTTCATATAGGAATAAATCAATATTTAAGCAAACACACCTAATGCTTTCTTGCTGACCATTAGATATGACTGATGCCACCTTCATAGTAAATATGAAGCAGGAGCTTGTAGCTAGTTAGCTTAACTTAGCCCGAAGACACAAAATATAACCCAGTTCTCCCCAATCACAAGAAAAAACAACACATTTTATCTTTTTTTTCTTGGTTTGCACGAAGGATAATAGTGTCTTTTTTGATGTGCGTCTACTTCTCACTGGAAAAAAGTGTGCAGCCACCAAAGACATATTCAAGCACACAAAGATATACAAAGACAGATTTTTATATTTGGACAGGTAGCTTCTTTCCCCCATCTCACGTCTTTATGCTAAAGTAACAAAACCACCTGCCTGCTGTTTACTTGAACAGATGTCTCTATACAATCAGCTAGAAACTAAATAAGAATATTAACCACAATGCTAAAATAGTCCTTTAGATTTGAATATTTAAACAGCATAGATGATTGATTTTGACTAGTTTTCTGTTTAGTACCTCTAAGAATCAAGACTTGTTAATCAAGTGTGCCAGATGTCAGTTTAATGCTGTAATTTGACCTGAACCTAATGACAGTTAACAGGATAAGGAGAAGACTACTTTTTGTGAAGCACGCTAAAGAGACAAGTGTCAGCAAATCTACGTCAAGGACTGAATGAGAACACACAGTCACATCACCTTTTTACAAGTGCCAAAAAGATGAAGAGGTTCAGGAGCAGCCACATGTTCATACCTTAAAGGGATATGGCAGGGTGCAGAAGCGGGGTAAACATCCTCACAGGGGTCAGCAGAAGATGCAGGAGGGGAGGCAGGGGCTGGGTGAGGAGGACAGGGGGATGCAGGCGGGGTCGGTAGGGCTTCAAGTGTGTGACCCTCTGGAAGTGTGGGGACGGAGGTAGGGAACTCTGCGGTGTCTCGGAAGTGAGTAGGAAGGAGGTGGTGATCGGAGGGTAGTGGTTGAGGAGAGGCGGGGGCCAGGTGACCGCTCTCTACTTTGTCACCGAGGGAGGGCCTGCATGGGAGGGAACACAAAACATCAACAAACAGACCAAAACAAGAAAGCCAAGTTTGGAGAAATTTGGAAATTTGGAGTTCCCACTCAGTTTTTCTCCAAATTCCCATCCAAATGGCCCATGAAGTAAACTCACCACAGAGCAGAGTAAATGTAAGGAGGATCGCTCTGTTCTGTGCCATCACTTAAACCTAGCAGCGACTTGAAAAACAGAAGACTCGCTCCAACCATCCTAAGAACGTTTTGTCACCTCTCTCATCGCTCCCCTTACACGATAGTCCATGCTTGCCCTACTGAGAAGTAGCCCATTTGAGGGAGTGCGGCTCTGTCATCATCGGCCACCTGGTGGAGTGGATTTGGCACTGATCCAGGCCCTGCTTATCAGGAGTGGTAGGCTCTTCTAATCTGACAGGCAAGGCGATGGACGCCCTTGCAGCTGTTCCCCACTTGGGGCATGCCTCCTGTTTAGTGCTAAAAATATCCCAGTAGTCGCTTCTGGAAAATAGAGCTTCACAATGCCTCCATAAAGTAAAGCACATGTATCGTGTGCTTACGCTCAACCATCTGCTGAGCTGCACTTTTTAAATGCCCCTGCCAGCTCGTGTCAGACTGAAACAGAGCTCAGTTATTCGCCCTCTCTCTCCGCAGCAAAGCCTGAACTTAATAGCATTTAATGAGGGTGTGTGCTTTTCTTAAGGGCGCAGCAAGTTACAGGTTACATTTAACAATGTGGTTATTATCATTCCACTACAAAGCAGGGAATTTTCTAATTGATGCAAGGCCACTGCATACATGATTTTTAATGTTCTCTGAGTTCAAATCAGATTTTTTTCTGTTTTTAATTTGGTCCCATTCCTCTTTTTTTTTTTACCCACAATTAGAAACTTACACCAGAAGGCCAAAGCTATACATGTGCCAGCATCTGCGGCCAACTTGGCACATGCAGTTTGAAAATAGAAGCATAGAAGTGTCATAAAGCTCACCGCTGCCTCCGAAGATGGACAAAAGCGGTCCTGGGGGACATGAAGACAAAAACATTTTGTATTTTCTGACTCGCTGCCTTCTAAATGTAGCTAATATCAGCTGACCCGCTCAGGTTAACAGCTGGCGATTTCCAGCCGGGTTCTGCCTCCAGATCCAACGTGCATGAAGTAACAGAGGCTTCTCCTTCCAGAGTGGGATGAACAAATTAGATGGAGCACATGTGCTCATTTACAGCCAGACATCAAACAGCTTAGTTCTACTGTTGGCATTAACACCTGGAGTCTGCTCAATACAGAGTTTACTGTAAGTAATTCAGCTGTGCGCATTACTCAAAGGCACCTCACGGGCAGTTCAAAGAGAGCACAGATATGACAATTCTCAGAAACAAGCACCGATCCTCTAACGCCCATGCTCATGACTTTGCCAACTACAGCATTCACGCCAAACACACGCACACAAGTTGAAAGCGACCAACAAGAAATAACAAGACACAAAGTCCAGAGAGTGTGTTTAATGAGTGTTTATAAGGATGACTGTTTAAGAACACACGAATGCGCGTTTCATAATCATTAGCCAATGCTGAGCTTAAAGTATTATTAGGCAGGCATGAAAGTGGGTTTTTTTTTACTCCACTTGTGCCGGCACAGGCAAATGAACCTACTATTACCATGGCAACACATCTATTTACAGTACAATGTGGGTTATAGGACATTCTACCTCTGTTTTGAGAAATATCCCACATTCTGGGCTAAAGAGTCACAGCTGTTTTCCTGCGTTCCTCAACAGAAAAAAACTAGCTGTGCTGCTTTTTAGAAAAAAAAAATTTATATGATACTTTTATGTAATGCAGTCACGAGCCCTCAATGTTTCCTGGAAGACCCAAAAACATTTATTAAATCACAGAGCCATGATTTAGACTGGATTTATGGACAACTTTGATTGTTAGTGTTGATCTTTACCATTACTGAGGAGATTTCCAAGGAAGCGTAACGTGTTCTAACCTGTTTTTTCTTTTAACATGGGAGGAGGTGCACCTTTCATTTCACAACTCAGTTCTGGAAAAGCCTTCTCTTCCCTTCGTCTCTCTCTGCTCTTCCCTCCCCTCCACCCATCTGGTGAGGTCAGCAGAGGCAGAGCATAATTAGAACTAGTTACCTACAGACCATCTGCTGCATCCACCTGGAAGGACGTACGCAAACACGCACACACATGCACACATAAAACTACCAGAGCTACTGTTTGTCAACTCACCCAGATTTCAGCCATCACACGACTTCAGAGGTTACAGTAATTACAGTAAGCGATGGAAATGACCTGAACTCCAAAACAGCGGAGCCGATGACCGCACGTCCCAGTCCTCCTCTCCTCTCTCTTTGACTCTCGGACTAACTCTGTCAAACAAACTCGCACCGCAGCACATGCTCGAGTGTTTCTCTGAACCCTGGCTTTTGTTCCACTCTGTCTGGTCTGTGCAAATGACTTCAGTGGGGCTGAGTGCCTGCCCAAATTCCTCCCACTACAAGCTTCAGTTCACAAAGCCGCACAGACTGAGTAGGACTGACAGCTCGGACAGCCTTCGGGGGCGGAGAGAAAAAAAACACAATGTACACACAGACACACACACACACGCGTATCATATCATATATCATATGCTGTCACGTTTGTTTCTGTGGCACATGTACGCAACAGTAACTGTATCTTTTGATGAAACCTCAGGGAAATAACATTCTTCCTTTTTCCTGCTCTGAACAATGCTGTGTGGATCCAACAGCAGTGATGGGACAAGTGTTGAGACTGACAGGCAGCAAGTGCTAATCTGGCATGTGGGATGGCTCCACGGCATGTGGTCGGAGACAGTGACAAATAAGGGAATTTGAGTTAATGAAGATAGGCCGAAAAGGGATGGATCCCACGGAGAGGTAAATGGAAAAGCATTGCGCTTTTACCTAATTCTAGTGAGAAATCTGGCTTTTCGCTAAAGGAATTAGTCAGTCCAACTTGTGCTGCTGAAATGCTTACATTAACACTGACTGATACACTGCTTTACAGCGCTTATTTAACTTGGAAATTTCAACAACTACATATAAACCAGTATACATCTGAGATTCTTATTAGTTCGTAGGCACTGTTAAACCTCTGTAGACAGAACAGTCACCCAGACACCGTTGAAGTGTCTGAAAGCCAAAACAAATCCACCAAGGTTGTTTTCCAAGCACACGGAAATCAGTTTTAAATGTGAGGCACGCACAGCTGACCTGTAAAGCACATGTCCCCCAAAGCTCCCTATTTTACACACATGTTCGCTCCAATGAAATGCATCTGATAGATCAGTACAAAGGAAATGTTATGACAAAATCTCCTTTGTTTGAATTATAAATGATCTCCAGTTGGGAAATCACTAAACCACAAAAACTTCAGTTCAGCTGGGGGTTAAATGGACGTCTTTTCTTGAATCCAGACCCCGAATTCGGTGTGAAGAAGAGCGAGTCTGTTGGTTAAAGGAGTTTCTAAGGAAACATTAGTTGGCTGTTTTACTTAAAGCGGTGAAATGTGTTTCCACTGGAAACTGTGGGCATCAATTCAAAATATGACAAGCATGTGATACAGACAGTAAAAACACTCACCCACTGTCCCGTAGCTCTGCAGCCGGATCCTGAACAGCCTCTGTCGCTGCAGTTTCCTCAGCTAGGACTTCAGCTGGCTCCACGGGCTGGATGTCTAAAGGTTTTTCCACTAGCTCCACTGGCAGCTCGCTGACCGGCTTCTCCTCTGACTGTGGGGACTCTGTAGTCGGCTTTGTTGTTTCTGGTTCTTCATACTTTGCTGGTTCTACGAGCTCACTATCATTAGCTGTTGGTTCTGGGATCTCATCTGTCCTTTCTCTTGCCTGTTCCTCATTCACTACTTCTGTTGAAGTAACTTGCTTCCTTTTTGGTTCTTGAACCTCATCTGGATGCTCTTCTTCTTCTTTCTTGGCTGCTTCTGGAAGCTCTGCCTTTGTCGTTTCTTCTTCTTCTACTTTTATACTCTGCGGTGGTTTGGAAAGCTCTGCTATCTCATGTGCTGATTCTAGGAGATCTCCTGCCTTTTTTAAAGGTCTGGGAAGGTCTACTGGCTTCTTCACAAGATTCACAGGTGGGATCTCTGCTGTCTCCTCCGCTGCTAGTTCTGGTGGTGGGGTCTTCTCCTGTCTCACGGGAGCTGCTATCTCCTCAGTCGGAGTGAGAAACTCTTGTTGAGGAGACTCCAGAGATGGAAAGGGTCTGAGAAAAAAACAACAGAAGAAGAGAAGAGGGTGGAGGGTTTGTTGTTTAGTTTATAGCACATGCTCAAGGAATTACTCACAAATCAAAAATGTGTGTGTGTGAGCAAGAGGATGTGTGTGGGTGAAGTGCTCTAGGTATGTTGTTGTATTGTGTTGAGCAGTGTGTTTTGTGTAAGAAAGGCTCATTCTTGCCCCGGGGACCAGGGACGATGTCACGGCTGATGTCACTCTTTGAATATAAAAGCTGCATTACTTCCATTAGACTCCAACAGGCACAGTCATCTGACCCGAGCTCGAGTTAATACAAAGTGCAGCTCTGTGTTTACCTCCTCATTCATATTCATTGTCACACTGCTCTCTGTAATATCCCTTCAAACAAGCCTTGAACATGGTGCTACTTGAATGCTAAGTTAGGGGAACAAAATGCCAGAAATCTTTGGTAAAAGACACAAAAAAAAATGTAGCTGTTTGTCCAGTTCATAATTCGTTCCTTTCCTCTTTCTATTTTCTTTGCCTTTTCACGCTGAGCTTTAACATGCAACATGATACATCTGTATCACTGTGAGGTTCTGACTGTGCTGCTCTGATCTGCAGTTCTTAACATATTTGGCTCATATGATCATTTTAAATAAGCACACGCTCTTTCGTTTACCTTAAGGCATCCACTGGGTTCACTTGTTCGCTTTGAGCATGGGATGCAGCTTCCCTGAGCGCTTTTATCCAGTTTGTGTCTGCTTCAGCAGCTTCTACTTGTTCAGCAGGAGGGCGGCGGGCTGGAGCTCTATCGAGTGATTCTGATTCGCACCGAGAGGCAGCAGCAGTGGGTTTAACCACAGTGTCATCTGGGGGCTTTGACAGTGGCACCACATCTTGTGGTTTCTCTGAGTGGGTAAGAGTTTCGAAATCTTCTAGGCATTTTGATGAAACAACAGATGGGCCTGTGTCCACATCCGCAGTCATTTTTTCTGTTGCATCACTGTCACTTTCCCTTGCCTTACAAGGACCGGTGTTGCCATCAGAGTGACAAACAGCAACCTCCGTGCTAATCTGTGCCTCCCCACTTTGGGAGTTGCCTAAAACGGTGATTGATCCCGAGCCCATTTCTTTATCACTTCCTGCTAAATGCACAACCCCCTGCTTTCCCAAAGCCCCACCATCTATGACTTTTATCCAATTTTGTTCCTCACCCTGCTCGCTAACATTCCCTTCATCCAAGGCTTCTTTATCTTCCTTTGTCATCTCCTCAACATCAGGCCCTTTTATGGGTGTTTGTTCTATTGGGCTGTTTTGTGTGGCTGAGGTTTTATTGGGCCTTTGCAGCCCATGAGGCCTGGACACTGTATCCTGACTTTCACACGCAACGCTTTCACTACCGGTGCTTTTTAGAGCCACGGCAGCACTGAAATCCTCTCCTCCAGTTTCTGGATGCGCGGCAGGATCTGGCAGAGAGCTGCATGTGTGCATAGAAATTTCACCAGCCTGGTTTGTACTTGGTGAAAAATCTGCATGAATAGCATCATTAGCTGTGCTGTCTTTAGTTAAAATGGGAATATGAAAAGATGAGCTTTCGTGTTCCTGTGAAACAGGCTCAACAGATACAACCAGATTCTCTGACAGCTCGGATTTTCTACTCTGCTCTTGACAGACAGCTGATAGATCACATTTTTGCGGATCTTTATCAATCAGATCACTCACAAACCCAGTGTCTGGCATTAAATCTCTACCTGACCCCTCTAACCCTGGGCTTTCATTCTCATCTGTCTCCTGACTTGTCTCACTTACATGAGAGTAACCCGCTGCTATCCCTGCATCAGGTGAAGCATTTCTCCCATCAATTTCATTTGAATCAAGGGAAGATGGCAACCTATGAACCTCTAGTGAAGCATCCTCGCCTTTCACTGACTTTATCACTCCTTCATTGCTCATGCTGGCATCACCTGCTAACTCATCCTTGCTTCCTGACTGACAAATATCCCCAGCAGAGCTGTCTCCTTCCTCTGTGGCTCCTTTTACTCCCTTAACCAGTGTCTGGGTCTGATCGTTAGCCTTTTCTCCCCCCTCTAGACAGCCACCTGACATTGCCTCTGTGGGATGTCTGGATCCCAGATACTGTTGATGGTGCTCCTGTTGCTGAGCAAAACAATTTGGATCTGGTGTGGACTGTGATTGGCCAAGAGCTGCACTCAAATCTGGTGCAGAGTCAGAGCTGCATTCCAGCGCTGCTGTCGGAATTTGGCGCAAACTGGAATCATAAACAGTCAGAGGTTCGCTACTAGACTCTAAGTCAGCACGCAGCACGTCCTCGGATGACCCCGGAAATCTGCTGGGAGATGAGGAACAAGTTTCAGTCTCGCTTTTGGATTCAAAAGTGTTCTTTATTTCTTTTTCCTTCTTCACATCCTTTAATGACGATTCACTCTTTTGTCCCATATGTGCATGTGGTGGCTGCAGGGCTCCAATTTCTTCTATAGTCTCTTTATCTGCTTCATTATTCTGTTGTGGCATTGTGCCTGTCTTTCCTGTCTGTTGCTTGCTGCTGTCTGCTGCTTCCTTTTGATTATCCATTGCTGCCTCTTTAGCTTGTTTCTTTTGCTCTTCAAACAACATGGCGGTCTGATCTCCCATTATGTGGTTTTCTTTCACATTGTCCCCTTTAATTGTATCATAAACCTCGTTGGCGGGCAGGTCGGAGTTAAATGGGTAGCTGACATTTGTGATGTCATCCCTAATGGAGGCTTCACAAATAATAGGTTTAATGCCAGCAGAGTCTGGCACTGTTTGAGATAGAGGAATTACATTAGCAGGTTTATTTCTTGTCACTGCATCGCTGGGAGGCTGAGGTGGAATCGGATTTTCCTCTTGTGATAACTGACTATTTACATTACTGGTAGCAGCAGACTCTTTAGTATCAAAATTTAAATTCTCCAATTTTGGCAAGACCTCATTAGCGTTAACATAGACATCGCCGATCTCAGCATGCTGTGCTAATGAAGTGTGTGTCACTTCTCGGCTCTTATGGGCATCCACCTCTCTGGAGTCACTGCTGCTGTCACCATCAGCACTGCAGTTATATGCCTTTTCAGAGACAGATGCATCAGAGTCGGTAACGAACTCTAGGTGACTCAACATTGGGCCAGGAGGCTGCAGCTCAAAAGCAGGATTACTGACACACTGCCCGATAAACGTGCTTGACTCGTCAGACGCCGTCACTTCTGAAGTCACCCACGCGTCCTTTGTGGGATCGGCAGAGCCGGTGGGGGACTTGGGCCCTTCCCCAGCCTTCGTAATATCTGGGTTAACTGGCTCGTTAGGAGGTTTTTCACCTAATTGCATAACAGGCTGATCAGCTGGGTCACAATGCTTCATCTGCAGAGGAGCTGCGCAAGTCAAGGTCACAGGTTCAGATGTTGAACTTGTGTCAACACCACTTAAAGGTGCACAGTTATGCTGGTTCCCTTTGTTTTCTTCAGGAATGACAGGAGTAGCACTTAAAGGTGATTCCTGAGGCTGGTCAATGTCAGCTGTACCTTTAGACTCTGCCACCACCTTCTTAATCTCCTCCTCCTCCTTGGGCAAACACACAATTGCAGCATCTTTCTGTGTCTCCGCCTCTGCCTTTGCTGTGACCAGTTCAAATGTCAGATGATTTGACTCAGAGATGGCACTTCCTGGTGGTTGTAAAACATCAAAGCACCCTTTATTACCAGCCTGAGTCTCCTCAGCAGGACGTGGAAGCTGTTGTGAGCTGTTCACCGACTGTGAATCTACAGTGTTTGTCTTCAAACTGTCACTATGTGATTGATCTGTGGCAATGTTCTCCTTTGTTTCTTTAGTCCTCGTGTCCCCTTTAGCCAAACAGACATCTTTCTGTGCCTCTGAAAACGCAGCTGCTTCATCCTTGGTAGGAGCTGGATTCATAGGGATGTCTGGCTTCTTTGAGTTGAGAAAGTCTGTGAAAGTATAGCTGGCCTCAAAAACAGGATGACGCAACTGCTCGTGAACAGTCAGCGGGGGTAAAGACGCACAGTCCAGGGCTGGCACCGGCATGGTCTTGAGATCCACGGAGGAACTGCCCATTTCCTTCTCTGCATCCATGAAGTGAACTCTGTTACCTCCACTCCTGCCACATAGATACACACCGACTTCAGACATAGCGGTGCTACCACTGTTGCTCTGGCTATAGGCTTCGACTTGAAGCTTGGCTGCACTTTCGACTGTCCCTGCTTCTGTTGTGCTACTAGGCTGAACCTGTTGATTGTTGCTCGCTTGTTGCTTAACTGGGATTTGCTCTGAAGTGATCAAATGCTGGCGTGAGGTTAAAGACGGGAAGACTCGACTGTAGTTTGTCTCTGTGACGGATGACTCCTCGAAAGTGCGTCCCAGAGCCAGCCCTTCCTCTGACACTAACTTCTGATCGAGATCGGCCCGTCTGCCTCCGCTTGTTTTACTGTAGCTCTGCTCAGCGTCAGGGAGGAGAGGTGAAATTGTTGCGCCACGGTGCTCCCGGCGGGGTCGACAGAGACGCTCCTCTTCGGTGCAGATGCTCTCAGTGATGGTAGCGATTGACTCCCTCCAGCTCTGTGATTTCAGCTGTGACTCGGCAACATTGGTGGGCGGACACCTTTCAGTCTGAGCAGATGACAGCCCACTAGCAGAGCCTTCTGGCTGGCTGAATGAACTGTGCTCTCTCACCAGCCCTCCTTTCTCTACCACCTCCTCTCCTCCTCCCTCTCCTTCTCTCTTTGATCCCGCGGCAATGTGATCTTGACAATCAGAACCAGTAAGTAGCCCAAGGGGAGAAGTATTGATAAAAGCCTCTAAGCACTGTGGCTCCTTTTCTGCATCTCCCTCTTCGGCTGGTGACAGCTCTCTGCGCGAACTCCGAGCGGTCGCCTCTCTCGGTGCCTTGATTTTGCTCTCGGCCGAGTTGTGTGGCATTTTGCTGGTGCAGCTTTCCTCAGCTGCAGCCGGTCCCTCTTTGGCTGACAATGCAAGTGAGCATTTTGCCTGGGAACAGATTAACGCGAGCCGAGAAGGGCTGCCCAGGACTTCGTCCCTCTCTCCGTCTGCAGAAATGAGGCACTTTTCTGTCCCTCTCTCCTCTACTCCTTCCTCACTCTCTGCAACTGCTCTAGCAGCTACTCTCTCCACTAAATCACACCTCACGCTTTCTCCCTCTCCCTCGCTTTCTATCACTTCTGGCAGTGTGGGTGTTGTCAGTGGCAACGCAGTAACCACCGCTAAAGCCTCTTCAAGGACGCTCTCCATGCAACTCTCTCCCACACAAGTTCGGCTGTTGGAGAGTGGGACGTGATTCTCGGGTGTGAGTATTTTTGCTTCTGTAACTGAAGCCTGGCATGTTTGTGTATCTGATCTCTTATCACTAGAAGCAGCTTGATTGATCGCTGTATTTTGGACATGTGTCACGGGTATATTTTGGTTGCTGGTTTCACCTCCGGTTACATGTTGCCCCCACTGCAGGCTTTCATTGGAGCTTTTATTTATGCTGCTTAGGGGATCATTATGGTTGTCTGATTGATGAGGCTTCTGCAAAAGAGCCCGCATGGGTGCAGGTGAACAGGCTGAGGGAGTAAGATGATCCTGACTGCTATGAGGAGATGATAGTAGGGAGCTGGATGTGGGTTTTCCTTCAAGCTGCTCCTTGTAATCAAGCCTGTTGTCAGGGTGTTGCCCACAAATCACAGGACCTGAAGGTGAATCTGTGGGGTTTTCAGCATTTATGACTTCATTTTCAGATTGCACTGCTGTGCGTGCCTCCTGCCCAGTTTCCGGGCTTTTCTCCATCTTTTTCTTTTTCCTGTGTCTCTTTTTCTTTGCCTCTTTGTTCTGGGTGGCCTGTTTATCACCAGCTGAACTCTGCTTGTATGTGTCTGATTCCTGCTCCACAGTGTGCTTGCCTGCTCCTGTCTGTCCTTTTGATTGCAGCTCTGGTAATGCGTCTCTATCCCTTAAACGAGGGCTACGCTCTGATGTTTCCATAGCTGAATTACCTACCTTTGTTTCAAAACAAACACCAGCACTGAAATCATCACTTAGATTTTCTTCTTTGTCTGTCTTTGCCTCCGTGTCTTTCTTCCTAATCACTACATCAGAGTCTACAGTGCTACTCCCCCCCACAGATGCACTGGAATTAGCATTTCCCTGTCTTAGATCGTTTGTATGATCACTAAACACAGCCTGTTTTGGTTGTTCTCCAGCTGAATATGTTGGCATTTCTAATTGTATTTGCGTGGGTGCTTCCTTCTCTTCATCTGTCTTAATTTCTTTTTCTGCTTTCAGGTTTTCAGTCTCTGCTGTCCCATCATTATTCACAGTGCCTAGTATGTAATCCCTAAAACTAAACACAACTATATCCTTCTGACTGTCTGCTGTCTCACTGTTTCCATGTGCATTCCTGTTTCCATGGCCCCCGTTGCTATGTCCTAGCTGGACAACGATTGGAGGTGGAGACGATGACTCACTGGACTCGTTAACCATCACTTTTCCAGTTGTATTCCCTTCATTGCACCACGTCCCGGGCTCGGGGCTGCAAGGCTGAGTGGGAGTGACTATGCCCAGTGACACCAGTTGTTCTTCACATTCTTGGAAGGCCTCTTGGAGTTCCCGGTCTAAGAATGTGGATGGGGAAGGGGCCAGGGGTCTGTTACCCGGGTAAGGTGTGGCAGCAGGCTGAGTTAAGAGCTGGACATCTGCGACAAGTGGGTCGCAGCCGTGAGGCCTGAGGCAGGGGTAGGGTGACAGAGTTAGGAGTACACAGAAACAGCTGCCCAGTAGAAGGCCATGCTCTGACACAGCACTCTGTGACATGCACAGATGACACACAACTGCACCCGGGATGCCTTTTCTAAGATCCAGATTCTCTTACAAGAAATAATATCAGCCGTTTATAAGAATACAAGACTGTTGTTAATGGACATGCACTCCAAAATTCATTGCAGTAAGTAGCATTTGTGCAGTTTTACTCACCTATTTCAAACCCTGCTGCAACACGCCTTCAGCATCTCAGTTTTTTGGTATGATTTTCTTATTTTCAGTGTGTATCAAAAGCTTAAAAGCCTAGCGAAATTTATCATCTAATTAAAATGATTTAATTTCTTATTGGAACTATAAATTATTTACTGTAGTCTCATCATACATTAGTTTGATTATATATAATGAGAAATAGTGTCAAGTCATTCATCCTGATTACAGTGATGGGTAGTTTCTGGGTTATTGGAAACAGTTTTATAGCCTAAATAATTTAGCATTCGTGCTACTTTAATGCCATTCATCTGCACCTGCTGAGTCACTGCTAAAACATTACCTGCATTAAAGGAAAATGAGGGACCATTTTAATCTTTCACGCTGTCTGACTACAGAGAATAACCATCATTATTAAGCTATACTCATTATAGCATGGTCCGTTCAAGTTTCGTTATTTTAACGCATTCTTTTCTAAAGAAGTTCCGATAAAGCGAGTAGGAATATCACCGAGGATCACTATGAGGGATTGGTTAACACAGTCACACATGACTTCTGCATAAAGACTCTGCCAGATCCTTGTAAACACAGCGTCTGTCCTCACATGCTCACTTGGCAGTCTCTGCTAAAGGGCGGAGAAGCAAAACAGACTAAACTGTGTGCAGGTGTCCCGTTTTACTACGCAACAAAGCAGGAACTCTGCTTTTTCAAATGATTTGTCCTTTCTGAAGCTTTGATATTTCTAGTTATTCAAAGCTTTTCACTTGTTTTACCTGTACATTTTTACAAATTCACATCAAGCAATGATACTTATACTTCTGGTTGACAGAAGACATCAAAGCATCAGAAGAATTAGTGCATTTAACTTTAGATAAAAGCAGGCAACACTGACCACATCAGACCATGTTAAGGCGTGATTGCTGCAGAGCCACAGCAATCATACCCATCACGCTCGAGCATAAGTTAGAAACATTAGATCACCCTGCCATCTTCTTGTTCCTCTCCATGCTCCCTAATTTCACTCTTTATCACCACGTCTTCTGCTGACAGCACAGAGGACAGCCGTCTAGCCATCATCATGCTGAACCTATGAGGTACCTTGAATCTTGAAACAGCAATGGTTGACTGACTTCTATGTGATGCTGCAGACCCGCCAGCAGGGGGTTCACCTGTTCACATTTCCTGTCACCTGAGCTGGTTTTAGCTCTGCTAACACAAACCCACACACACATATGCAGACATATTCACACATGAAGCAAATCAACAACAGGTTTGCTTTCACTCTGACTAAATAAACTGTTACAAGTGTGTTTCCTCGCAGCCATAAATTAAGAAAATGTAATATTTAACATATTATACAGTATTATTAGTGTATGCACATACTGGCCACTTTATTAGTTATTCCTTGCTAGTCTAGGTTGGACCCCTTTTCCCTTTAAATGTAAAAAAAATGTAACGATGAAGGAAATACATGGAAACTGCAGATGTTCCAGCTAACAGAGCATTCTGATCGGGTATATATTTAACTGTCTATTATTACACAGACAATTAAAGCTCTAAGGGCAAACTGAATCTACATTTAATATTTATTATGAGAAGTATTAGGAACAACTGACGGACAGTTCTGGCAATATAAGAAATATGTTAACATGTCAGCTTATTTTGATATTTTTCCCAAACTTCTATCCTTTTTTTTGGAGATATATGTTTTCAGTATTGCTCACTTTAAACTAGAAAAAGAGAAACTTGAGAAAAACCAGAAAGTTATGACAAAAAAAATATCCCAAACACACGAATCTGTTCAAGTCGTGAGAAGGAGAAAAAGGAAAATTCATTTTTCAGGCCTTTAAAATCACCTGCGGTACACAAAGCCAGCAAAGAAATGCGTGGGTAGTAATTTATGAGGCCTATTTGTCACTAATGGAAAAAGAAGAATACTTACTTTTATCGGCAAGTAGACAAAGAAACCAAACAATTGTAGCCGTTTACATTCCTCAGTACTAAAGAGTCTTTCTAGAATGAGTCTTTCTTCATTTTGTGATCGTCACTGATGTTTATGATGACATTGACAAAACTGCCAGGTTTAATCTTGCACTATCAATTCTGCCACCAGCACTAAGAATCAGCTCTGTCTCAATGATTTTTTGCCACTTGTAGCAGCAAATCAAACCTGATAATCCTCATCTGATTATGCATGATAAAGCCAAAAACAAATTGCCAGAGCATTACCTCAATTCTTAAGTCAGAGTAGTTAAAAGGACCTCTGTAAATCGGCATAACTTGGAACCATCCCAAAATGGTTGTGGTGTTACAAGTACAGTCTGTGTTTGGGCGCAGATCTGTTATGTAACGCCACCAGATGTCACCAATTATATAAAAGATTCAATTTAAGGGGGAAGATTTTGTTTAGGGTGAGTGCAGGGCTTCAGGTTAGAGGAGTAGTGATTATGGTTAGAGTTGGAGTAAGTATCCAGGAAGTTATGTCTTCTGAAGTGTAAAAGTCTGTGTGTATGTGTGTGTAACCCCTCCACTTACCCCAGTGAGGACTCCCAGATGTTGAGCTCGCTGCTGAAATCTAAACTGGGCAGCAGGTCGTGAGGAAACTCAAGCTCCTCCTTGTCCTCCTGGTCTGCGGCCGTGCCTCGGCTCTCCTCCACCCCGGTGATGACTGGGATGTCTGGCAGCACGGGCTGAGACAGCAGGCTGTGCTGGCTGGTGGAAACCTCGGTCAGTAGCGCTCCGTCGTCCCTCTGAGTCGAACTCTCGGCTCGAGCTTCAGCCTGCAGGAACGGTGAAGGATACCAGTGAGCTACACGAGGGAGTCTCTGCCACACAACACACACACACGTGTATACTTAAGCAAGTGTGATCATGTCGCGGGCAAACACGGGAACACCCACAAATTAATGCTCAAAGCCAGACATCACATGAGCAGATAACTCCACCCATGTGTTTGTTTGTTATAATGTAAAGGCCACACTGGCTGAACTACGTCCTTCCACTCAGACGTCTTATCTGATACGTCTCTCAACGTGCTTTTCTTATGCTATTAAAAGATTATTTCCAGTATTAAATCCTAGCATTTATCCCGGCTCACTGCAGTTTAATCTCTGCAGCTTTGTTTACACCCCACATTTGAGCATGTCCTCTGAATGGGACAAAAAACAACTAATGAATTGAAAAATATTGTCATCAGAACTACTTTCCATCTCACAAACACCTCTGAGGAAATACAAATGTATTTTTTCCCAAGGTGTTGAAATAATAATCATTAAAGCCAAACCAGTTTTGCTGGATGGTGACAAGCATAATTAAGCAGCACAGACAAGAGCAGGTATTTTGGATGATATCTTCTGCTTCAGATGTGTCTTTATCTGAGCCAATCATTTTTCCAAACAACCTGAAATACAGTAAATGAAATAATCTGAACTCTCATCTGCTTTTTATTTCCTGATTGTTCAACAGTCAGTTGGAAAGGATATAGCCACAGCACTCGCTATGAGGACAATAACAGCCTCACGGTGCACAACACTCAGCTAAGCTGCAATGCAATAGAGCTGGGGTGCTCTTGTCTGTGGATGGAGGTGGAGAGTCGGAGGTTATTTTTCTTATTTCTTTTCATTTGTTTCGTGTGTCCAGATTTAGAGATCTAACACAGCCCTGCCTGTTATATTTAGTGTTTCCTTTTTTACACAGAGATCCTGATTTTAGCCAGTGAGTTGATTTCACGTGTGAGTATGGATACAGCCACACAGTGGTAATGATATCCTTTGAGGATCTGCTGAGATTCAGTATTAAAGCACATTGATTATTTATGAATCACTCATAGCTGGCGTGCAGTCATTGCAAGCAGAAACGAAGGTTAAATCAATTCAATGTAGCACTTACACGAGAGCAAGTTTTACCTTATATACACTTGCTTTAGCGTCTTCACTCATATGATGTGATTACTGTAATGCTGCAAACTATTTCAAGCCAGAAACAAAAATATATATTCAAGACCGACTAGAAAAACACCAACTTACGCTGGAGCTTCGCTTTAGCGCTGTATTTCCTTAATGTGGAAACTGGAGACACATTAACAAATAAATTTGGGCTGCAGGCTCTGAGTCACTGGCCTCACCTGTGTGACCACAAAGAGCCTCCTTTGTGGGACATATTAAGCACAGAATGTGCTTGCATGAACACACACAAAAATTGTGTGCTAGACTTTTAAAAGACATTTGCACAAGAATGGTGTCATGCCGTCTTAGTTTATTTTTAAATGTTCTAATTTAGATTCTTTTTTTTCTCGTTGTAGCAAGAAACCCAGCTACACAACTGGCTGCAGAAGAGAAGATAAAACATTAAAAGAAACCGGATGCAAAAAAAAAAGGCCTGCTGCAGGTATGAGTGTCACTCTGAATGTCTGTGATCTCCCTGCTGCTCCTATTTTCTGGATTAATGTTATATAATCAGGTGTTAAAACAATTCCTTCACTCCTTAACAGTGATGCACGCTGGGATCAGCACAGTCATGAGAAAACTGTATGTTGCCATGTGTCGAGTTTCCTGTTTCCTGCCTGTCATGCAAAAGACAGAAAACATACAACCCGTACCTTTTCTCAAATGAGAGAATGACGAGGAAAAGCACGCCAAAGTTTACAGCAAACACTCATTCAACATTTCTTAAAAGGTCATGAAGGTGGAAAATCACACCTGCTCTTTGTTTGTTCGATCCCTATGCAGAAAGCACCTTTTGTTAATATTTAACCCACAGGAACTAAACGAAAAGCCACAGTGAGAGACAGCGAGGCTGACTGGCTATTACTGCCTGTGCAGCAAATACTCTCTATTCAAAACGTCAATGCTCGAGCCCTGAAAAAAAGCCTTAATGCTTCACACATGACTGCTGTAAACATGAAAGAGGAGTGCTGAGGAAGGAACAGGTCCCCTCTTCACCCACAGACACACAAAACCGACTCAACATATCCACTCCATCCAGCCTCCTGTATAAAACACACCTTTGATTGCACGTCCTACGAGCTTTATCTCATTTCATCTCTCTTGCACTTACCCAGCAGTGTGCTCCACTGTCCTGAAGGTGACTCTACAGTGCAGTGCAGCTCCTCTGCTACCCTTATTCTATGCTCACACTGTGCAGGCAGGCTCTGCAGGGCTCTGTGTTTTGAAGGAGGGCAGTCGAGAACACAAACATGCTGCAACACATGCTGCTGACGCTCCCGCTCCTCCTCTCCTGTACTTCCTTCTCCTCCTCTCCACAGCCCTGTCCTCTTTGTAGAGTCACTGCCGCTCCCCCTTTAAATTTCCATGAGCCTCCTCTGTTTCTTCCAGTGTGTGTATGTGTGTGTGTGGTCTCTAGAAACACTACACTACCAAACCTGCTGCTGCTGCTGCTGAGACTGACTAACTTGACTTGTGCTGGCCTCGTGGAAGTGCTGAGCATTCTCCTCCCCCTCTACTGTAAACTCTTTCCACTCAGCTCTCCTTCTGTCTCCTCCTCCTAGTCTAAGAACTTTCCCTCTTTTCTTTTCTTTCCTTCCCTATTCACCTCCTCCCCCTTTCTCTTGCTGCTGTGTCTTGTGGTTGGTAGCATTGACAGTGCCTCTGCAGGTGAATGCTGGGAATTGGGCCAAGAGTCAGGCCTGCAGTGACCCCCAAAGAGAGGATCAGGTTACGCTCTAGGAAGCTGTGGTTACACGTAAACGTGGGCATGTATGCCCTTTAGAGCCACAGCTCACCCCGCTGTCAATCAAGGGATGTCAATTCTGGATAAGAACCTTAACAACAGCTCCATAAGAAGCCGTCTCACGGATAAACTATTCCACAGAAGGCAAAACAAGAATTTAATAAAAACTCAATCAACAGACTCATTTTAAAACTCTGACTGACATAAGACTAGAGTTGAATAATAATGAAAATATAAAAATAACAACCAAGAAGAATCTGATTTGGCCTAATTTTATAAAACAAAAATTACTAATTGTGCTGTAATGTTATTTTGTGTATAGCCACATTTCTTATGCAAAGCAGAATTATGAAACCACGCCTCAAATTATCGTGAACAAATTGAAATTTTATATCAAATCTTTAAAATGATAAATGCTATGATATTCTTGCTTTTCTTTTTTCGTTTTCTCTGTCTTTTTCATCTAATATTACACTCTATTGAAAACATGTTAAATAATGTTTATATGCATAAACGTTCATTACATTGTTCATTGCACATCACGCAATAATAGTTGAGTAGTTAAAAAAAAAACTTATGAATGTGCACCACAATTTCTTCCTGCATTGACCGCAGCTTCCTGCTTTAAATATGACCTTTCGATGAGGTTCACGTGCGTCATCACCACATGATTAAACATACTGATATGACAGTTCACTGTTTTTAAAGGTTTTACCATGAAAAAAAACAACAACTTTCACCTTTTACATGGCATGAATGGGTTATGGTGACTTGATCATGATGAAAGTTGCTACGAACAGGCACAGTTTGAGTGGTAATACCCCACCCCAAAACAAAAAAAACAAGAACAAAAGCCACAGCCATCCGTTCCTGTGAGCACTACAAATATCGTACCCACACACAAGCTAATATTATCAAAGTGGCAGTCACACGTACACACACACATTGTACCTGCACGGAGTCATTTTGACTTTCCTTAGGTGGCAACAGAACAACATTTTCTGCAGCGCCCTCTTCTGGCTGTAACGAGGGAATGAAATGGTTCACAAAGAGATTTTTAAAGGAACAACTTTACATTAGATAGAAGCAGTTGCATGCAGAGTGCACTGAAAACAACTCGCCACTATTTTTTTAAGAGGAGTAGCATGTTAAGCTGTAAGTCTGTGCGTACTTAGTGCTGGAGCATATAGCTCATGAGTCAAATGTTTAAATTAATCCTATTAGGTTAATCCAGAATTCCACTTCTGAAGTCCTTCAGTCACATTTTAAATTCCCGTTTTTCTATAGGTGTCCTTCTTCTGGTATGTTTGTCTTTGTTATTAGAAGTGCACAACAGCAACATTGCAATAATGAGACACGCAACAGCCTTCTAAACATCATAAAGGCATGAATTATTATTAGGGTGTGTAGCAATGGGCATAGATTAAGACACATGCTGTGAGTCATTAAATAACACATCTGATCTTTATCGTTATCGCAGCTTTACGAGGGTAAATCACAAAATAAGACAAGCCATGTTATCTTATCTAAATGCTCATTAGACAAGCCTCAGCATTTAAAGCCCGTGTATTTCACCGAAGCAAAAAGTTAGTAATCATGCGACTGTGTTAGTTAAAAGAGCTCAAGGTGTGCATAGCAGCAAGTTAGAGATCCTAGCTATCCAACGTCTGCAAGCTTGCCCTTACCAATGTCTCAGTCGTGCTGCTCTCGTTCCCCATGGCTTACCCAGCTGCAGGGCCACAACTGCCCAGAGCAACAGCCTCTCACATCAGCTGGCTGTAAGAAACTAGCAACAGAGACACCATCAGCGTACAGCAAGGTCAACAAGGAGACCTGGAGTCTGAACAGCCGTCCCTCAGTAGTCACAGACTCCTGCGTCACAGGATTAAAAGTCTTTGGTATGAGGTTAAACTTCTGTGGAGTGAGGGGGAATTGTAAGTGTGTGTTGTTTTAGAGATTAGGGACGTCTGATGCAAGAACCTTACACCAAGACCAAAGTGCAGGTTTCAAGTCTGCTGATGTGGCCTTAAATGTGGGAAAGCTGGAGCTTCGTTGGTAGAAGGACAGTTGAATTATTTTTTTTAATTGTTCTAAACATGAAATGTGTATTAGTTAGATTAATCTCCAGCTGCAGTAACTTTGTATAACCTCATGTCTAAAAGACATGAAACAAACGGACTCCCAGCATCAGAGCATCCATGCATCAGCACATTGGAGGATATATCAGATGCAGAAATATTCTCTCACAATCATCTCCCTGTCTCGTGCGGATACTTTTGTGTTGTCTGTAATGCAGCTGAGCCGTGAAAGGGAAAGGCCCGTTCATGCATTCCCTGTATGACTGCAGGGACTGCGTGGTAGCTCTGTGTTTAGTCAGAAAGCACTGACCTGAATATGCAAGACTTTATAAATAGATATTTGCCCTGTTCACTGCTGTTGACGTTTATTACAGTCTTATGCACAATTTTGTCACACAAACTAGATTTCCAAAAGAACGCAGAGGCCGTATATTCCATCCGTGCAGTCAAAGCATGGCCTGAAATCGTTTTTTGTCTCACATTTTTACATTAAAACAAAAGACAAAATGGACATCCTATCCTCACATATTAAATCACACCTATTCTGTGCTGCGGCAGCTTATCGGCCCTGCTCGCCTGCTTGCTATTTGTGTGATTGGGGTGTAATTTCAGCCCCTATAGTGACACGTGTGCACTTTAAGTGGCAGCAGTGTTTCGGGGCTTTTTGGCAGCCCAGAAAGCACTGAGGGGAAATCATGTGATTAGGCTGTTGCCAGGTCTTATCTCACCTCATCACGGCCTGACCATCACTCAACGTGAGTAATCTTTTAAGTTCACGGGTTTGGCTCAGAGCCATGAATGTCTTTGGTCAGACAAATATGAGTTTGTCCATCAGCGGGTAAACAAACCGCCAAACTAAACAACACAACACATAATTTCCCATAACTTTGCAAAGCATTGATGTGCATATAAAGTTGATACATTTGTGATTAAACCCATATTCACCATCACACCACCAGTAACCGTAAACACTCACACTTAATCGAATACAGTCACACTAATCTCAGTACAGGTTTTAACAATGTCACCGTAATATAATCCAAAGTTTTAACACAGCTGCAACTCACCAAAAAACTACTCACCACGCCAAACAAAAGTCTTTTTTCTGCTACAGTGTGTGCCCCCCAGCTTTGACAAACCCTGTGTTTACTGTCAGACTCAAGGCCAGTGTTTCTGTCCTGTCTTCTGAGGAGCCCCGGTTCCTCTGTTGCTATTTTTGCACTGGACGCAGGACAGGGACAGAAGTTGGGACAGGATCAAGGGAGGGAGGGAGGGGAGGAGACCGAACTGGAGCTGGGGAAGCCATGTCTGCTCAGGGAGTCAGTGGGCCGAGGGATTGTAAACAAAGACGCACGTTATGGAGAGGAGGACGGCATGTCAGACCTCACTTGTCACGTAAGAGGCTGCAGATGGCGTTAAAGTGTCCAAACCACCTGTAGCATCCTTTAATATCTACACCTTAACATCTACTGATCCCCTCGATTTCAGTCTGGTGGTCCTCTTTTAAGTCCAACACCTCCCTGTAGATTTCCCTGTGACTGACGTGTAAGGACAACACCAACACACTCACACAGCAACCTGACAGATGGGAAGAATAACAAACAGGAGCCCAAGTTACAGATTTGACAACAGAGAGGCTTTAAATGTTTTTTGGATCCTCTCATCTGCCATCTTCAAAGGCTATTTTCAGCCAAGCGCCCCAGTGTGTGCTGATAGCATCATCCCTATAAATAACAGTACACGCATTGTTCACCAAACACACTTGTTATAGATTTTCTTTATTTGTAGGCTGTGGACTAAATGAATCTGCAGATGTAAACAATCCCTTCTCTTGTCAGTCTGTCTCCCATCTTTCCTCGACTACGATCAGCCTCACACTCTCACGTTTATACTCAGCTCCTCCTTTTCCTACTCCCTGATCTGTCTCCGCAGCTCCTTTTTTACTGCTGACATCGCCCCTCCTCCAACACTTGAATGCACCTTCCCTCTCCCCGCTTTCTCCTCAGTAAAGACTCAGCACTTGACCAGTAAAACCTGCTATGGTTCTTCTCCCATGCTATCCCCTGCTCAGTCCCACAGACATGGATGCAATGCTGCAGCCAGTCTCTGACAGCCCCACAGTTTTCCACCTCTCCTCTGTTTACCTTGCCGTGTGGGATTCCGATGCAGCTCCCCATCTTGTATTCCATGTCCTCCTCTGGTGAAGTGACTCTGGCACTACACGGCTGGCAAAGCACCTTTCTGCAGAACTGCATCGTTGTTAGTCAGACTCAGCATTGCCAAAGCAGGAAGATCTCTGCAGGAGCTACAGAGTGAGGGTGTGCACGCCTCTGTGTCTGTGTGAGTGTGTCCCTCAACGACTAATAAACGCTCTGCGTTGCATTGCCCATGGTGTCCCTCTGACATATATTTTCAAGCCATTGTTATATAAAATCTACATTACATAAGGAGTCCAACCTAAATCAAATCAGAGTGAAAAAAGGGAGCCACTCTTTCCAGTCTTAATGAAGCCTCACTCTACATCAGTGCACAGGGTGAGCAGACTGAAGCACTGCTTTGGAGGGAAAAAAGCTCAGAGTGGGAGAGAGGAAGAGATGGGAGGCAGCACGAAGTGTGCCTGTCTCTTTAAAAGAACCAAGATGATGCTGGTACATCATCATGATGGGTATGTTTGATAGTATCAGTGCATTCAGCCAAATGAATTCGATCATACTGATATTCACTCAGCCAATATGGAATAACAAAGAAACCCAATAGCAAAACAGAATAAAGAACTTTTATCTTTTAGCTGTTTATCGATTTAGCTGTTTATTGTTTAACTCAACCTTTTTGTTACATTTTTGTAGCATAGTGACAGGGATATATCTATACCTGATGAGTTCCTGACACCTACAGAGAGGAGGTCAGAGGCTGCTCCCTGGTATGCTTCTGGAGGTATTTTGCAGGCATTGTTTGGGTCCCTTTTCTCCTTAGAAAGAGGCATAAAGGCAGATTCTACAAAGTTGTTTTGAGATATCACCTTTATCCTATGATGATTCATTCTTCTCCTGAAGGGAGTGGTCTCTTCTGTGATGAAAACCTCCTCTCCAAACTTGGAGGATCAATAGAAAAGCACTGTGTCTGGCCTGTTTTGGCCTGGGTTGTGTCTAATGTAGCATGACTTTCCACTGTAAGGAATCTAATTATACAAACAAGCAAAAAACAGACTGGTCTTGGACATACTGAAGCCTAAATTGTTCCCGGTGCCAGGCCAGGGCTTTGAATGGCTGCTTGTGCGTGAGTATGTGTATAAATACACTGTGAAGTGATATAGAACCTCTAAGGTTAAAAAATATGTAAGGGTAGGTTGGCCAAAACATCAGTATGCAGTCTAATATCACTAAGATAACATTTTGGCTCCTTAAAAATGAGCAACTCACAAAATTTCCAGTTGAGACAACCATGCATCATAAATACAGGCAGATAAAAGATTCTGACATGGTCCAGGGATCAGACCAGCTGCAGAAACCGGCACTCCAGTGATCACGCTTCATAGTAGGTTTACATGAAGAAAACCAGTGTAAAAAGAAACCTGACTTTCCCTTGAGACTTAAGACTCCTATGTCATGGACAGACTAATCCGTCATAGGAAATTATGGGATATGAACAAAATATCAAAACAATCCTTACTGCAAACTTTCTTGCACTAACGATATACAGTTCCGTGAAAAATAAATTAGCTGCAAGTAGAACTGCTGTCAGCAGCAACTTAAAGCAATCAGTGTCTATGTGACTTCATCAGTCTTTCACATTGTTATGGAACAACTTTAGCCCATTTGTCTTTATGTTGCTTCACTTTATTGAGGTTTGTGGGCATTTGCACTGCTTTTTTTAAGGTCTCGCCACAGCATTTCAGTCAGCTTGAGGTCTGGACTTTGACTCGATCATTGCCACACTTCCATTCTTCTCTTTTACAGCCTTTCTGTTGCATACTTGCTGCTTGCTTGGGATCATTGTCCTGTTACATTACCCATGTTGGTTAAATCTTAACTGTTGTACAGATGACCTCACAATGAAGTTCAAGGTCAACTGAGTAAATCCAAGGTACCCAAGCCGTGTGTCTGCTAACCAAGCCGAAATAAAAATCTTCCACCACCATGGCGAGTTAGTGTGAGATGTTTGTGCTAATATCTGGTTTGATCATTTCTACCAATGTGTTATATCAAAGCTCAGATTATCAGAAGCATATTATGTTAAGGCTTTTGTGTATCAATATTCAAGAGTTGCAATAAAATAATTTTAAAAAACTTTTATTCATTTCTTTTTTATTATTCAAACTTAAAACGCAGTAAAAAATAAACAAATGTGCAATAGAACGATTATTATACATTGACCTCAACTGATAAAACTGTAACACATCACTTGAATTTTATTAAGTAAAACGTTTAAGAACAATGTTTAGGTTTTTCAGTGGGGAAGATGGTGTAGTCTGTCAGTCATTCTGTGTGTTTGGAGGCCGAATAATTGAATCTTTGATGTCGAAGGCATCTATGAGCTCCTGAGAAGGACAAAGCAAACTTTACAATTAATATCACAGGCACAAAACAAAATCTTGATTGTAGCTACCGTGCTTTTAATTAATGTGCACTTCAGGCCAAAACCTGCTAACCTTCCATATCTTTGGGCTGATAGAGAGGATACACTGTTTACGGCTTGTGGAACCTCCGGCTTCCACCTCCCCCTCCTCTACAGGAGCTGAAACATGAAAACATTGTTTTATTTCATTATTTACCTCAAGGCATTTTCTATGCTATCCCCCAGTCAGAACAGTACAAGTGTCACATCATCTCACCTATACATGGCAATTTCTCCTCATCAAGATACATTCTTGCCAGTCCATCCTGAAACACAAATGAAACTGTCATGCCTGTTTATGGTCACCAGGAGGCACTGGAGTTCACTTTAAATCTTTAGTAAATTCCATACTCTGATCAGAAAAGAAGTGTGAAAGATGTTCTCCACTGTCCGGGAAAAGGAGCTGGGGTCAATGACGAACTCGTAATATGATATTGGTGAGGTTGCTGTGATAGAAGGAGAGGGGGGGGAAAGTACACGTGAGCAACTAATAGTTTACACAGCCATGCGATGTCTCTGAGGTCGACTTCAAACTCACGATCATCTTGGTAATAACTCTTCAGGTACCCCAGAATCCTTTCCACTTCTTTTTCTGTCGCTTCTTGTTGCGACTCTTCCATTTTCTTCAGCTAAAAGACATTTAATGACACACCGAATAAATGGGATAGGTCCACAAAATTAAAAAAATAAAATTTAAAAAATCTGTTGATTTCATTTGTAAGAAATACAATTAGATAATAAAAAGTCAAGATATGCTCTGAAAGATGAAGATTACAGAATCATGCCATTTATTTTAAAGAGATGACCTCTGGAAAACAATACTTATTCAATGCATGCTCTCATACATACTACACAGGACAAGGAGATGGGTTATTCAGGTTATTCAGGTTTATTCTCACTCAAAATGCTCGGTGTGTTATATGCAAACATCCATCCATCTTTATTTATAAAGGAATGTAAAAAAAACCATAGCTGGCATGAACTGCTGCAGAGTAGAGTCAGATAATGAAAATACATAAGATAGAAATAAAAACCAACCAAAAAGGTCAGATAACTAAAAGAAAAACTCTCTTGCTGGAGCTGAGAGCCAAACAAAAACGTTTAAAGACATATTTTAAAAGCGGACAGTGAAGGGGCCTCTCTAACATGTAAGGGAAAGTTATTCCATAATTTAAAGCAGCGACAGAAAAGGCCCTGTCCCCCTAACATTCCTTCTGGATCTCAGTACTTCCAGGAGCAGCTGGTCAGCTGACTTGAGAGTGTGTAGGGGTGAAGAAGCTCAGAGAGGTATGGTGGGGTAAGATTGTGAAAAGATTAAAGTTGAACTTTAAAATATACGGTCAGCCAGTAAGTAAGGCCAGGAGAGGGGTTATATGCTCTGTTTTACAAGTTCCTGTTAACATTCGTGCAGCCGCATTTTGAACCAGCTGCAGGCGCAAGAGTAGCGACTCACTGACTCCCACATAAAGAGAGTTGCAGTAATCCAGATGGGATGAAATAAAAGCATGGATCACTGTTTCAAAGTGCTGCCTAGAAAGAAAAAAAAATTGACTGTTGCCAATAGCCTTAAATGATGAAAACTAGACTTAACGACCGCTCTGATTTACCGTCTAATTTAACATCACTGTCCAACTTCAAATCAAGATCACTAATAATAGCTTTAAAATAAACTTCCAGGGGTTCCAAATCAACAGAAGAAGATTCACAGGGATCATTTGGTCCAAATACCAACATTGTGGTGGATAATGTGGCGAAACTTTGTGTATGTGTGGAAAATGGAAACAGGGACGGGGTGGCTACTACATTTATCTTAAACTACATGTAGGTAACAGCAGCCATGGAAGTGTCATTTCAGTTACCTGAGTAGGCATTATCCTTTTGGCTTCTTTGCTGGGTGCTTTTCTTTGCCGTTCTATCCTTTGTTTTGGGGGAGGTGGTTCTGCATAGAACGAGCCCATCCTGCAAAGAACCAGAGGGATGAGAAACAAAAAAAAGCCCTGAAAATCAGAAAACGTATCCACATAAAACCACTGTGTTATTCCATCTTATCCCATAATTTGACAATGCGCCTTCTGTTTAGAACTTCTCATATGTAAAATCCACAGGTGAGGTTGCGTTGATGACATTTTGCTCACATTGTTGAGAGTTGTCCACCATATTGGACATGACACCGCCACCAGGGAGGGAAAAATGTGTCTTCCCTGACTGATTGGTGAGTGGTAGGTTGAATCAGCCATAAAGAGGGTGCCACACCAAAAGCCTCCTTGTGATCATTTTAGTCCTGCAGATTGCTTTGTAGTTTCCATGGAAGACACCAACTTGTCTGCAAACACTCACCAACTAACTCCATCGCGGTAGTAAAAAAATGACCACTCGGAGAGTTGCTGGCAAGTGTCTACAGAAAAGCTTCCTGCATGCAATCTACAGGCAGCTGGAGCAATCTGCCAGTGAAAAACAATTAAAAGAAGGATATTTGTGCAGAACAGCAGACCTCTTTGTGTCCAATTTCACCATGTGACGGGCAGCAACCATTCACCAGCTGGTCAGGAAATACACATCTCTCTCCATCACGACTGCTGGTTGCTAGGGGGTTGCTGACTGTGTGACTGGGACCTTATTCACGTCATCGTACAGCATCAAATTCTCAAAATAGCATCACATGACTGCAAAAGCCAGAGTATGACTGAGTAAGCATTACCCTGCTGCAGTATAATTTTGGTGCCACATCATACCATCCATAATATACCAACATAAATTTTTATGCGATATAAAAGTGTCGCAACCTGATGTGAGTGGTACAACAGTGTCATGCGTTTACATTTCCCAGCAGGCACAACAATGACACAATCCCAGACTGCATAAACAACAGCCAAGAAATTCCAACACCACAAAATACTTTGTAAAATATGAAAGAAATCTCCTCCTGTTAAAGGTAGAAACAACAAACTCCTTTTGCCATTTGAGACAAAAGTACAAAGTTGAGTATACCCAGGCTATGACAGCAAACGACACAACCTGGCATCACTCAAGCACTTGTTATTTGCACTCCATGAGACAGGAGGAGCAAACGGTGGAAGAGAAAAAAAAATAAGAGAAAGGAAGGTTTTTAGGAAACGACAAAGAGCTGTTCAAGGACGCTTTGATTGCTGGCAGCAAATCTGGAACCACTTATTCTACTTTTATGGACTGGCAGAAGACCACGTGCGCTTGTCGAAAGAAAATTTCTGTGTTATTAATTTGCTTCTTCACAGAACATCAGTCTATTTTTAGTTGGCAGGCAAAGACCCTGGCACTGCAGTCCCAGCTAGTAAACAGACTTGCTAAATCACTCACATGTAGTGGAAAGAGGGTGCTGTCCTAAAGCAGCACTCTGCTCTCCTGGCCAATCGGTGCCAGGCGTCCTGTGGCAGGTAGCCATTAGTGGTGTTCTGCTGCTCGTCTTCATCATCTTCTAGTCGGTTCAGACCCATGAAAGACAACTGTAGAGAAACATAGACATGACCACTGCAGTATGTGATGCTTTGGAAGTTGTGTTAAAAATCGCACATTTTCCTACATTTATTAGTATTTGTGTCTGTATAACTCACTTAAATGAGCAGGAAAAAAAACTAGTACAAAGCTGCTATAGCTACCGCGTTATCATAAAGAAACATAGGGCTGTGCCATATGACTCATATCCCAAAATAAGACATTTCTCATCCACCATTTTCTGTAAATTCTGTGAATCTCAAGCAACTCGACTTATGTGAAGTGTTTTCACTTTTCAGTTGGAGTCAAGTGTTTGGGCAGTACATTAAACTATATATTTTTAGATACAAGTTGTAACGGCCACCATTTCCTTTGTATTTCTTACAAGCCGTGTGGCGGGTAAAAGCCTGTTCTAATGTTTGAGTCTAAGGTTTATTTTTTTGCTTCTCATCCGTAAACTCTCTCCATACTCTTTCTGCTGGTATTCTCTGTGCCTGCATCCACACGATGACCATCCAAACAATTAAGAAAATATTGCCATAAACAGTGTATTTTGTGATACCACAAAACAAATGATAGCGTACAATATGAAACGATAGATGTTTTCATTTCACCATCTGATATATTTCAATCATATCACACAGCCCTACAGACAGATATTTAACAATTCATGATTACTGGGGTTTGTCTGGCCATCATATGAGTCCACTAAACAAACTCCTGTCAGCTTTGTTTTGCCCTCCTTGCCTTTTTTTAACCATACATAACTTAAGGTAAAAGAAAAGCATGTGCAGCTCGAGTTACAAATCCAGACAGAAATACTGCAACTGTACAAAACTGCAAGGTCTGTATGGACCACTCGTGCAAGGTGACTGAAGGACAGACATGATACAGTAATCATACTCACGAGATGCTCAGCAAAAGCAGTGGGATCGAAAGCGGTTCCCTCGGAGAATAGCTGGCTGGCTTTCTCCTTCCCCAGGTCTGTAGCCACAACAAGGAGCTGTGCATCCAGGGCTGCTTCTCTCGCTTGTCGAACTGCCACCAAACCCCCCCCAAAAAACTGTAAAGTCTAAAGGATTGATCTGCTGGCATGTGTTATTCATTTACATGTATCAGACCTACCATCTTTAAAAAGTTTGTTTGCTTCCTCTAAAACCTCTGTTAGTTTGTTGTTTGAAGGGCTCAGCATATCTTCCCTGTTCTCTGAAAAACAAAACAAGAAGAAAAGCACATCAAGGATTTGTTTGTAATACATACAAATCAACAACTTTGGCCATCCCCAAACCTGCTGGCCTGTAGTCACTCACGTTGCACTGAGCTGATGAGGTCTCTGTATTTGCTCCTTATTTCTCTCCTCAGGCCCTGGTCATTGTCGTCGTCTTGCAGGTCGGCTGGGCCGATGTCACTGCCACCCTCGTCCCCGTCACTTTGCTGCTGGTCTGCTTTCCTTCGGCCCGCTGAGCCATTATGCCGGGGAGCTTCCTCGTCACCACCGCCTTTGGATCTCTTCATCTTCACTCTCGCACTAGTTCGGCTGTGTTTTGTGAAAGGGAAGCAGGCTGACGGAAATCAAATAAACATAAACAAAGCGCGTTTCTATCGATGAACAGGACTAATTATTACCTTCTAAAACAAGTCTTGGAGACAGGGTACAGAAACGGTCTGTTTACGGCTTCGGTTGTCAAGATGCTCGATGTTTTATTGGTACATATACCTAACGTAGCCACACCGGTTTTCTCAAAGTTTAGCCAAAGACACATAAAAAAATCAAGATAAAAATCCGCATACGCTAGTGCTTACATGTGGTAAACCCAGCCCAAATATAATATAAAATGCGGATTAGCAAATCTTACCATACAGTTGCTTTTTGAAAAAGACTACTATGTCATGTTAGCTTTAACAGGTCAGTTAACAAAACAGAACCCTCTCATGCCTGCATACGCGAACGCGGAAGTCCTGCAGAGTTATATATCTCGCGTTACTCGTGTACATCTTTGGTGTTCAACGTTAGCCGACGTTAGCTAGCAAAAGCAATAGCCGCTTAGCTTAGCTCAACTGTTGGACGTTTGACTGTCACGGCCAAATAACGTCATAGTTAAAAGCAAATACGCAGCCTGTTGTGAGTGTCACAAATCCACCCGTGCGCAGTTTTTTATTACTATAATTGCTTCAACGTACCTGTGAGGCAAACGGACACAAGGCGCGCCAATTGGGTGTCAGCGAAATCGTCATGAACGTCTAGACTTCTTCTTCTTCTAAATTTTATTGACGGTTGGTAAACAACTGATTGGCGCATTACCGCCACCAACTGGTATGAAGTGTGAACTGGAACGTCCCCCCCCCCCCCCCCCCAAAAAAAAAACAAAAAAACAAAAACAAAAACAAAAAAAAACAAAAAAACCAACAACAAAACAACAACTAAAATCCTCCCAAACAATTTACCCTCTTTTAAAAACTGGAATAAGGCCTGATAACCTTTACTTCTAGAGTCCTTTTGCAGTAAATAAATAAGATCTAGTTTCATTTTTATCTTACTGAGATTTTGGGTCAGTTATCATCTCTCCACCTGCACTTCTGACAGTGTAAGATGACATGTTCTATCGTTTCGTCTTCTCCACAGTTGTCACATTTCCCTGTTTTATCTTTCCTTATCATGAAAAGTGTAGTGTTCACACCAGTATTTCCAAATCCTATTCTCGATATGACCACCTCCTTATTTCTCCTTTCCTTTGAATGTTGTACATACACTGCCCCTTCCTTTCTATGGCGTTATTTTTGTGCCACTATTCTGAGCGCACGTAAAAAAAAAAATGCAGGTGCAAGTGTTGCATTTTGAAGAGAAATTTATTTTGAGCGAAGAAAAGCTAAATTTGAGTGAACAAAATTCATTGCTGCGTGCAAAAAATGTATTTCAGTGTTTGCTATTATCTAAACACACACACAATAGCAGCCCCTGTCGCTCAGTTTTTGCACTTGCGCTTGCTCACATTGTGTTGCTTGCGCTCTCAACATTTCTGCCTGTGCGCGCTCAACTCTTTCTGTACACCGTTATATTTGTGCCACAAAACCAGCCAATCACAGATTTGGATGCAAAAAAAATCTGATTGCCTGTTTTTTTTTTTTTTGTTTTGTTTTTTGCAATGCATTTATTGAATAACAAAAACACGGCACAGTGCAGACGTCACAAACAGACAAGTGCAGATGACATAAAGGAGCACAAAAAAGGACAAATCTGATTGCCTGTTCTGGTCTGCAATCAGCTCGAAATGACGAAATGCAATATCCCAGAATCCATTTCGTCCAAAAACTCAAACGAGGCAGTGGCGGAGGAACACAGAGTGGCGGAGTTTGAAATATTACTCTTTCTGGGTCACAAAATAAACTTTTTTCTTTTTACTTTTGTAAAGTAACCTAAAATTATTATTGCCTCAAAGGGATTTAGTATTTTGCAAGATTGTTATTTACATACTTATTTGTATAACACTTTTAACAAAATACTCGTGTAAACCTTGTTTTGTCTAATTCATACTGGCTGCAAGATTTACCCACGGTGGTACCACAGGAGCTGTGCCAAGAAGCCCCGCAAGACCAAAAAAAACCCCATTTGTTTGTGAAGCATGCTGGTCAGAAAGTTAGGGTCACTGTCAATTTTTCAATGTTTTTGAAATGTTTCTTGTTTTGAATCGTTGTCTCCTATAATATTTATTGGTTGTTTATTTGTTTATTAATTCATTAATTTATGTTCGTGTTGCTGTGTGTGTTTCTGTGTTGTTCACAACATTAGAGTTCAGCTTTGATTGCAATTTGTTTGTAGGATTATTCAATTATTTTGTGTTTCCTAACATGTTAGCATACTGTATGCAAAGAATTAATATATATGTTGTTCCATGGTTTACTGGTGTTGAGCTTCCGCTGTACCCCCTGTTTCTGGTCTATTTGTTAGTTTATTTTAACTGGTGGTTTCTTCTTTAATTGGATGTAATTGTTATTTGTTTTTGGTTTTCGTTTCAATTAATAAGTGCTGTATTGGAATGACATTTTTATTACCGTTGTTTTGTCTTTCCTATTACTTGGTGTTCCTAATCCTTTTTTTGTATTATTTTTGAATTACAACATTTTTGAAATTTGACTTTTTATGCACAGGTTGAAAATGACATATTATCGGTATTAATGTTCTTTTAAAAGTTATTCAGCAGTTCTTGGAGAGTGTTTGGGATATAATATGTCACATGTAACCCTTCTGGATGATATCCAACAAGTTTGAAGCAGAAATATTGTTTCAGTGACAAGTTATAGTCCACAATCACTTTTTGGCAGGCTGAAAATGGCATATTATCAGTGTTATTGTTCTTGTACAAGTTATTCAGCAGTTCTGAGGGACTGTTTGAGATATAATATTTGACATATGACCCATCTGAATGACATGCAGCAAGTTTGAAGCAGAAATA